ACTGGCCCCGTGTCCTCCAGCGAGGTTGTCCCCGCGGGCTGGAACCTCTGCACCGTCGTCGGGGTGCTGCTGGGCTACCCGGCAGCATACGCCTTCTCCACGGAGGAAGGCGCTGAGAACTGCCTGGCGCTGACGCCGCTGAGGGTGTTCACGGTCCAGGCCTCCTGCCCCAGGATAAGGGATGGTCTCAGGGTCCAGATCTACTCCTTCAGCATCCCGGAGAGCATCTGCGCGGAGCTGAAGGAGGTGCTGGACGCCTGGTGTGATGAGCTGAAGGAGGCCTTCAGCACGCAGAATGACTTTGTAGATCTCCGCATTTTGAGCGAGGTGGTGTGTCTTCCAGCGGTTGCCTTGTAAAACGCAAACTCATCTCACGTGCATCAGGGACTGAGGCGAGAGACGCGGTTCCCACTGAGGCTCTCAAGAAGCCCACAAGCACCAAGGCTGAATTTTGATGATCTTGGGCCCCCAACCTCGTAGGCCAGTTGCCGATCAAATACGTGTACTGCCCAGAAGACCGTTGTGTGGATGTACACACTCACAGCTGCTCTGCAGCCTCCACTCAGACTGCGGAGTGCGCCCTGTATAAGCCAGGGTATATTTATTTGCTGCAAACAGCCGAGGATTAATAAAAAATCTGAACCACAGTATTGTGAATTTGTGAAGTTTATTGTAGGCTCCGTATCATATTTACTACTCATGTGAGGTGGTGTCACGCACCGCCTCATAGCTGAGCCTGCGCTTGAGCGAGGGGCAAGCACTACCGTAAAACCTGCACAGTGCAGCTCCAAAAGGGTCTTAAAACCCCCGTCTCTGTCGAATTCATGTGGTGCTGGCACTGAAAGGGACATGGACATGGCTGTGGGGACGCTTGGCCATGCAGCAGGCTCGAAGAGCAGTGGGCAGAACTGGTCCCAGTGGGTGGGAGGTGGGAAAATTGCTCAGGACAGGCAGTGCACGGGGGGAGTACGAGGGGAGTGTGCTTTTTAAAGCCTCCCTGCGCTGGGTTTCTTTGGCAGGTACCAGTAGAGATGGTCCAGGGTTGAATACTTCCCATTTAGGGAGGCAATAAATAAAGGAAGAGAATTTTGTAGTCCTCTCAGCCACTGGGCATGAAAACCAGGGAGGCTGGATCCCAAGGGCACGGGATGCCTCATCCTTGCTGCCCGGTCCCTCCCGCCCCGCGTGAGCCCTGGCAGCGGTGGCAGGGGTGGCTTTGTCCCTCAGTGCTGCGGGGACTGGGCAGCGCAACCTTCAACTGATGCAGAATAACCAAAGCAGCTGAGGGAAGGAGTGATCTCCCAGCGTTTATTGGAGTTTGTCTGGAGTGAGACCAGCTCAGGATATGAACCGAACAGGCAAGTACTAAACAGCAGACAGTGCGCTGTGGCAAGGGCGCGTTGCTGTTGGTGAAGCAGAAGTCAGTTCCTGCAGTGAGATCGGTCATCGGGAAGGTCCTTCACGGTCTGTAACTTGCGAGGAAGATGGCTACGGCCATTGCTATCAGTCCCACCAGGACAGGGATCCAGTGACTGCAACGTCTCTGCAAGGGGGAGCAAGCGTTACTAGGAAATTGGGGGGGAAGAAACTTCTCACCTCATCCCTAGCAAACATGTCATTCATCTTTCCTCACTGCACAAATAAACGGGGGAATTTTTTCCCAGACCGATCTGTAGCTGCGGTCCGAAAGCACGGGGAGTCGGGGTGAGGAATGCCTCCCACCTTTGCCTGCTTGCTCTGGCAGTGGTTGAGCTCGTCGCGGCACTGGCGCAGCCTGGTCAGGCAGGAGCGGTACTCCTCGCTCAGGGCCTCCAGCTCCGAGCGCAGCTCCGTGCACTGCAAGCAGAGTGAGCGGCCGTTAGCAGGAAGGATCCCCTCGCTCTTGTACGCACCGAGAGTGGCAGGGCTCCCGCAGCAGCTGCAGCGCTTCACCCGTGCGCGGGCACTGCAGTGACGGGGGATTTTCACTTCTGCTACCTCTATGCCCATAGAAACCTACAGGGGACAGAGCAGATCTCAGTGTTACTGGGAGCGCGGCGATGGAGGCAACGCCCGGTGCGTTACCATCCCGTGACCTGCTCGGCTTTGCTGCCGCCTTCCACATCACATGCGAGAAAGAAGCAATAGTTATTTCTACGACCACAGAAGTGTGCAGGTCAGGAAGATGTGGAGTGCAAACTCGTGGCAGGGTTCGCCTTTCATTCTGAAATTCAGTCTGCATTTCACTGACTGTGAGAGCAACTGCAGCGTCCTTTAAACCCTCTGAGACACAGAACACAGGGGACAGGTGCCTTGGCTGCACTGCGCAACCCCAAAACCCAGGCAGCGCCTTTGGTCTGAACGGCCGCGCAGCGTGAGACCCTGCTGCCCTCCCGGCGAGCGGTGCGTTAGCAGCAGCAGCAGCAGCAGCTGTGGAAGGAGGCTGCCTGCGCCGAGAGGCTGCAGGAGCTGGGGCAGCTGGGGCAGCTGGGCCTCCCCAGCTGCTCCCTTTTGCTGTGATTGTGCTTTACAAAACCCTTCCCCAGGTGGTGCTGGGTGATGCCCGGTGCTGTGCTCACTAGTGCAGGTCAGTAGGACAAGCTCTCCTCCTGCGTGGCTCTAAGTGCTGCTACAGTAAGTTACAAATCCTTTTTTATAAATCCTTGCTGCCTGAGTACTGCTGTAAGAACTGTGGGGCTGTTGGTTGGCAGAGGGCACGGTTTGTGCTCCCAGTCTTGTGTCCTGAAATGGTCTTTTAGTCAGGAAAGAGCACGTAAGAGGTCAGAAAGCTTTGGAGTTTTTTGCAGCCCCATTGTAAGGGTGTTGCTTTTGTTAGCAGACCCTTCCTGTTATTTGCAAGCCTTTTTTCCTCCTCTCCTTCCTTCGGGCTCAGGGCTTCAGCTCTTAAAGCATGGCTTTGGCTTTTCCCTGCGGGACTGCTGAGGCTCTCGAGAGCAGAAATGGGTTTGTATGGAGGGGGCTCTGCGCCGCAGCCCCGGGGGCCAGGCTGCTGCCCTGCCCTTGCACATGGGCGCTGCACCTGGGGTTTAGCAGAAGCTGGTATCGGGATAAAAATTCAGCAGAGAGAATTCTCACGAGAGATGCCAAGTTCAGGTTACTTCCAGGAGCTTTGGCGCGTTGTGTTGTGCTGCTGCTGAAGCACTTACACCAGCAGCTCGCTCCCCAGCAGGAAACTCGGTCCCAGCCGTGATTCAGTGGCTTCCTCACCTCCTTCTCCTTTGCCGTAAGCTGGGATGTCCTTTTCTGGATCTCTTCTTTCAGACTTTCTTCTCCCTCCTCCTTGGGGTGCTCTAACAGAGCGTTTTGTTTTTCCTTGGCAGGAGTGAGAGGTGGGGTCTGCGTGGTGTAAACCTCGTCTAGAAAACAGGCTTCTGATGAGAAACAGGTCCAGGCTTTCAGTTTGCTTTAGGTCTTGTTTACTCAGCACAGTTTAAAGATAATATTTGTGTGCTGTGTACACAGCAGAGGACACAGGAGCCAAGTTAGTTATCGTGGGCCTGCCTCTGCTGCAGCTACAAGTTACTCATCCTTAGAGGAATATTTATAATTAGTTGCTAGAAACAGAAGGGAGGGAGAGTTAAAATGCCTTTTACTACTTTTTTCCCCAAGTACAGCTGTAGTTGCAATTATAAACTAGAATGTATTTTGCCTGACGGAAAAAAATGGCATAGCCACTGAAGTAGAATTTGCACCAAAATCCATTTATTTTTTAAAGTGTTTGCCATCATAAATACACTTACATTTAACGTTAACTAGCAAAATATAATAACTCGCTTTGTGCAGCTTTAAAATAATCCTTTATTCTAAACCAGTGTAGACTCCTGCTAGGGTCAGGTCTAAGGTTCCTGTATCCAGTGAGAGGAGCGCTAGGTTACAAAATTTGCTGACCTTTCCTTTGCACCATCGCCTCCTGGGTCTTCTGTTCGTTGGCCTGGTTCTGTATCAGGTCTGTGAAGGGGAAAAGCCGCTGTTACCATCCACAGCGCTAACACAGATCTCTTACTTTGCGCTTTTTTGTTACTTACTGTGCAAATGGCTGATCGTCGCCTCCAGTGTTACCTTCTGATTTTGTTCTTTTTGCAATTTATCTGACGTAATGATAAGAGGAAAATCAAGGTTGATGTAAATTTCTGTGCATCTTTACGCAAGGGTGGCAACTTTTCCCTTTCTCCACGTGTGTTAAGCAGAGTGGATACTGTTGGCCACACTGAACTTTCTTCTCTGAAGGGACATGATTTTTAGCTGTTAAAACCCTTTTGGTTTTCGTAGCTTTTTCTAGCGTGCCTTATATTCTATTAATTTATGGTTTATTTTAAAGCTGTTTGTGTGAGACCTGTTACGAAAATAGAACTGCCACCCCTTTCCTCTTCCTTAACTGTGTTTTCAAATAGCCCTGTGAAGTACGTGTGAGTATCCTTGCCTCTATCTGAATTGGTACTTTAAGACCCTATTAGCTCATATTTACGTGCTGGTAATGTCCACCACCGTGCAGCAGCTCAGCGACAGGCAGTGCCCCGCCAGCTGAGCAGGCTTGCATTGCTGCGTTTGATGGGTCTGACAAGGATGCAAAAGTCCTCATCCAAGCTGAGGACTCATCTTTGATTTTTCTTTTCAGGTCTCTCATTCCATCCTTTCTTTTAGAAAAGACGTTTCACCTCTCTGAAGACCAGGATTTTAAGACTATTTTCCTTACATCCTCCGTTCATTTGGAGGACAGACCCCCGCCCCGTTCCGCCGCACCCGGTACCTTTGATGGCGGTGATGTGCTCTGCCTTCAGGTCGTTGTCCTCCCGCAAGGCGCTGGCTCGCTGGCGCAGCGCGGCGTGCTCGCTCTGCAGGCTGCGCAGGGCCTGGTGGAGCTGCTCGTTCTGCGCG